ACAAAGTGTCAGTAAAAATGGCGATACAGCCGGTTTGCTTTAAAAGTCTTGACACCGAGATCAAAGTGCAATTGAAGTTAGGCACATAAAGAACATTCATAAGAATATAGTCCTTAGTAAGATATATCCGGCCAATTTTTGTAGCTCTAGACGCCGAACCATCTGGGAATGTAACCTCAGACGGTAATATATCAACAGCGTTATGTAATAACGACAAGTCTCCTGTCATATGGTGTGATGCACCCGTATCGATAATAACATCAGATAGTTCAGTTTTACCAGACAAGCGGTCAGTTGAGAGTTGTGATTGTTGTGACTGAAGCAAGCTGATGAGGGCGGAGATTTGATCGGTGGTAGAGGAAGAAGATGGAGCGCTGACAGACGTAGACGCAGAGTTCACACGCCCTCGACCACGACCCGCTGAAGAGGAAGAACGTCCACCACGTCCTCTGTTTCCAGAAGAATTTCGAGAGACACGTTGTTGCTCGAGAAACCATTCTGGGTAGCCATGTAGAAGGAAGCACTCAGAAGCTTCATGACCGGTGCGCTTGCAGTGAGTGCAGGAACGAGCAGGGTCGCGGCTTCGAGTTGTCACAGCAGAGGCATTAACCGACGCAGGAGTAGTATTGATGTTAGTTTGGACTGAGAATCCGACTGCGTCTTGTTTAGTGTCATTGAGACGCATATTGTTGATGTTCTGCTCAGCTCGTATGACCCTAGAGTACACAACGTTTAAATCAGGAAGAGGGTCCTCGTCTATGATTTGAGATCGTATGCCGTTAAATCTCACATCATCGAGGCCAAAGAGGAACTTATGTATTTTAGCATCTTCACGTTCTTTGTCTGCAGCAGCAGCACACGAACATGAAATAGAAGGCTTGAAAGTTTGAATTTCTTCCCAAAGCTTAGAGAGACGGCCGTAGTATTCGAGAACGGGCTGGCCATTCTGTTTGCACTTGGTTATTTCGTCCTCAAGAAGGTGCTTGCGGACTGCGTTTTTGACAGAGAATCTACTTTTGAGGGATTCTCACAATTGTAGGGAGTCTTGAACATGACTGACAGTAGACCGAACGGGAGGATCAATCGACGTACGCATCCATCCGACGATCATGGAGTTTGCAGCAGTCCATCGGGCTAGATCGGGGTTCGTCGAGGGTTTAATTATAGACCCGTCGAGGAATCCTATCTTTTGCTTAGCTTGTAGAGAGTTCCAGAACTCGGTCGCCCACTCAGAATAATTGTCTCCTTTGAGAATCACCGGTGTTATCAAAGCACCGGGATTATCGGAAGGATGTAGGTTATAAGGGCTCCAAGTGGTAGTGGTGTTATTTGCCGATGTAGACGGCGTAGAGGCGGTAGTAGAGGACGTAGAAGAACTCGTGGTTGATGCCATGAAGACAAGGTAATCACGAAATAAAAGAGAAAAAAATAGAATTTGTATGTAATTGCGGAAGCAGAGGGATCAAAGATTATTTCTTAGCTCTGATACCATATAATAGAATGTAAACTGTTGATTGTATTCATGTACAGAGAAGAGTTTATATACAACAGAGGAGATCCTATTCCTTAGGGGATAAGTACTAAGGATAATTACAACATAAGTAGTTCTCGTTATCTCTAATATAGTCTTTATCTCTATAGTTTCTTCTCTTCTTTTTGTAATATTTCATTGGATATTGTTTTTTCTTGTCAAGTCATTCTTTGTTGTAATGTCTCCATGTGTTTCCAATTTATTCAAATTTTAGATTGGTTATGTCAAGTCATTCTTTGTTGTAATATTTCCATTGGAAAACGGAGACCACAAAAAGCTTCTGGACTTGAATTTCACCAGATTATATGTTCGATAACATTCAGCAAATTCACCGGTCGAACCAATAAGATAACATATATATAATAAGCAGGGATTGACATTTCAGTTTAAACTAAGGTTCAGTTTGGGTATGGATCTAAGAAAATTATAACTGAATTGAACCAAAATTTGTTTGGTTTGTTATGTGTTTAGTGTGGTTCGAGTTTGAGTTCAATTTGTTTTGTGTTCAGTTAGGTTTAATTTGATTTTGTCTGTGTTTATTCAGTTCAATCAAGTTGGTTTTTATTTTTATTTTCTATTTTGATTACAAAAAATAATTTATAAAACAAAAAAATAATCATTTGACACTAAGCTAACTATAAACTTCTTCATATTTAAATGTAAATTCTTACATCACGATACAAATGTAAAAATATGTAAGCCAAAAAATTATATGGTTATGTTTGAATCTAATATAAATATTATAGGTAGTTTTATTTTTGATGATAGTGTACAAGATTCATAGTCTTCGATTCTATTCATTTAAAAATAAATATATAACATTATGTTTAGTTTTCAGGTTAGATAGTTAAATATCTTAAATGTTAATATTATTAATATATTTAGTTAATTTATTTTTAATAAAACACTTCAGATTTTTGCTATTTGGGTTGATAAATTAAAACCTTTAACCGAATGGTTGGGACATACTTTGGTTTGGGTTGGCTGGTTCAGTTTGGTTTGAATTTCCCACCCCTAATAATAAGGTTTTGAAATTAAACATATTGATAGTTTGCTGTTATTAGTGTATGGACTTTTGTATCCTGTAAATTCTTTTGTTACTCAAAACTTGCTATCACTAGTTTCCCGTCGAATTGTAGTGTTATGCAAGTTTTAGTATCATGGGAGTGCTGGTTTTGAAAATTTTATTCATATATGCGTTTTCGCTAAAAATATGTATTGTATTTCAGTACAACAATTGATACACACTTCAAACTTTATAAAATCTCTAGCAACACCGAAACGACCAACAGATATTATAAATTTGAAACTGTTAGGACCAAAAATCTCCGGACCACCACAAAGTGTGGAGAATCATATCTCCCTAAGACCCTAACCCCACAAATACATCAGAAGGAAGAAAAATTAAAAGCAACAGTTGAGATCACTTTCCTTACAAGTTTTAGAAAGAGAACTACTTTTGATGGCATCATCATTCACAGAACCACAACCAAAATACATCATCCCTCTATATACATACCATACATGTATAATGTTGTATATACATAGAACTTTCATATTATAAATCAAAGCACTTTCCATTGACACAACAAAAATTAAAGCACTTTCATAAAAAACATAGCTACCTTTTCAGACACAATCTTCAAGCTGAAAGCATCTTCAACACTCTATTTCCATTTCAGTAAATCTACATTTATTGTGATTCCCACTTTCCATATCTTATTTCTGAAGTTATAAATGCTATATGAACTAATGTGTGCATGTTTGTCGCCATTTATGTTAGAAAAAACATTGTGAAGTTAAGTGGTGGCCGGTATCCAGTAATTGTGCGATTTATGAAAATGCTAAGTAAAAAGTCACATTTATTTAGGTGAAAATTGGCCAACAAGGTGACAAGTGAAAGTAAAAAATTTTACGGTTATTATTTTTTGTTAAAGTTATTTTATTCTAGAGTCGAAGAGTCAAAATTATGTAGGTGTTGAAACTGTGATTGACTGAGTGTCTGTTTTTTTTTTGACAATACAAGTTAGTGTAAATATTAAGGACAGGCTATTAATTTTTATGATGAAATTAATCAGAAATTGGATAGGGAGTAAAATAAATGATTTATTTTAAAGACATAATTGGATTTTCTTATAAATCTGATTATCTAACACATAAATTATAAATCAGCGCTATCAATTGACAAATTGGATTTTCTTGGTCGGGTTCTTTTAGCCACGGATATTAAATGCATCATACAAACTTTCAATTTAGGATTCAAAAAGAATGACTTTCAATCTTGATGGAATTCAAATTACTGTTACACATCTTTTCTCAAATCACTTTCAAAAGTTTTGAAAGAAAAAGAATATAGATTAAAAAGCAAATGAAAAAGGGAATATAAAAATGGAAACAAAATAAAGTTAGGAGAGAGGGCTCACTGTCCAAAGCAAAGAAAGAAATAGCAAAGTGACGCAGACATGAGAGAAATAGAGATCCTCTCTTCAATTTACAACACATATCTCTCTCTACATATCAAGAACCAAAATAAAAGTAGCTTGTTTTAAAAAAAATCATGAGAAATGAACATGTTAAATCAAATACAAACGGATACAGCAGAACACAAAATGTATAAATACACAATTTTACTGAATAAATGCTACTATTTTGAGGGGGTCTATTATATAACTAACTATTGCTCTTTTGTAAGAAAATTATTATATATCATTATCTTAATTGCATACAAAACTGTATTTTTTTTTTTGTCACAGGCAGAAATGAGCATATAATTCTCTGACGAGATGAGTTTTTTTTTTAAAACATATGGTTTGTACTTTGTACAGTAAAAGCATTAAACATCATTTGATAATAAGCATTAAATATCATTTGATAATAAGCAACAAATATTAATGAATATAGACTCAATGACTAATAAATTTAATTCTGTCATAGGACCAATGTGACATTTAATCAAGAAAAAAAAGTTCCTACCCTTTTTCAAAAAAAAAATATTTCAGAAACGAATTTAATATTGCAAGTAAACCCAACTTAACATTAGTTTTTAAAAAGAAAAAAAATTAAAGAAAGAGAAATATATAAAGAGAAAAACAATGGTCGTCGTCGTCACTCTGTCCTCCCTTCTTCACTCTTCTAAACTTTTCAGAGAGGGCCTCAAAATTCAAATGCTCCATTTCACAGTATCTTTTTACAAGAAAAATCAAAAACTATAAATCTGTTGTCTCTACTCTAATCCGCATTTGCGTTGTTCATCTCAGAAACCCTAAATTTCAAAATCAAATCTAGCTTCCTTTTTCTTTTGAGATCTCTTCTCTCTCTCTCCTAGAGACTGTTACAGTAGTGAGCTCAATATCAAGCTTCGTTCTTTCTATGGTTTCACTAAAAATCCACCATTGCTGTTCTCTTTGCTAACTTAGGCAATTAGGGTTGAATTAGGGTTTTGCGATTTCTAGGGAGTGTGTACTCTGTTCTTCGTAAAGTTTCAATCTTTCAACTAAAAGGTTCAAAACCCATTTGAAATCTGTGTGAAAGACTTGTAATTTAAGGTGTTAAATCCGCCATTGTTGTTCTCTTTACGAACTTGGGCAATTAGGGTTGAATTAGGGTTTCACGTTTCTGGGTAGTGTGTACTCTGTTCTTCGTAAAGTTTCAATCTTTCATCTAAATGGTTCAAAACCCATTTGAAATCTCTGTGAAAGACTTGTAATTTAAGTACTTAGATGCATGGACGGGAGAGAAGCAATGTCATTTCCAGGCTCGCATCCTCACTACTATCTCCAAAGAGGAGCCTTTACGAATCTCTCACCTTCCCAGGCCGCGAGTGGACTCCACGCGCCGCCTCATCCGGGGATGAGGCCAGTGTCAAACCCTAACGTTCTTCATCATCCTCAGGCTAACAACCCGGGGGCTCATTTCTCCGTGGCTGAGCACAGACACTCTGATTTCGGACACAGCATTCACATGGGGATGTCTTCTTCTGCGGTGGAGGAGCAGACGGCTTTGATACAGCAGCCGCCGCCAGCGATGGAGACGGTGATGGTTAAGAAGAAACGTGGAAGGCCGAGGAAGTATGCTCCTGAAGGTCAAGTCTCTTTAGGGCTTTCTCCTATGCCTTGTGCTTCTTCTGGTAGTAATAAAGCTAAGGACGACTCTTCTGCAGTGACTGATCCAAATGCTCCTAAGCGAGCCAGAGGTCGACCTCCTGGAACTGGAAGGAAGCAAAGATTGGCTAATCTTGGTGAGTTCTCAAGTTTTTTCGATGTTATATTGTGAAGAACACTAGCATGGATCTAAGGATTAGGTGAAAGTTTGGATGCTAGAAGCTATAGATGATTCTATTGCCAAAGTAAGTTAGAGAATGTTGGTTAAGCTCTGTTGGTACTGCTAATATATTGATCCATGTGTGGTCTAGTCTCTAATGTGTGTTTAGATTAGTATTAGTAACTGGTCTGTTAGTGTTGGTGAGATCTCAAACATGTTTTCATATATACATTGTGAAGAACATGAGCTTGGTTCTTATTTCCTAGGTAAAAGTTTGAATGCTAGAATCTCTAGATGATTCTGTAGACTAGTTAGATTGTGTTGGTTTTAGCTCTGTTGTTACTGCTACTCAACATTGATTAGCCCTGAAAGAGTAAACTGACTGATCCATGCTTGGTTGTAACTGGTATTTATTTGCTTTGTAACTGGTACTGGAATGTTATTTGTCAAATTAAAATTTGATTATGTTGATTTGATCACTTTAGGTGAGTGGATGAACACTTCAGCTGGACTTGCTTTTGCACCTCATGTCATTAGTGTGGAAGCAGGAGAAGTATACTCTCAAAAACATCATCTCAATCTAATTATTCTGTTTATTGACAACCTGAAAGCTGATTCAAATTGTAGCTTTCTCATTGTACCATTTTCCTTTACTTTCTCGCAGGATGTTGTTTCGAAAGTTGTGGCATTCTCACAGCAAAGGGCTAGGGCTCTTTGTGTAATGTCAGGCACTGGAACAGTTTCTTCAGTTACTCTACGTCAACCTGCAACAACAGAGCCTTCTTTAACATTCGAGGTTTCAAAATCATTCATTCTGTTAACTGAAGAAACTCAAAACATAGAAAGCTAATGAGTTTCTTTATATTACCTTTCTTTGTGGGTGTGTTTAGGGACGTTTTGAGATTTTAAGTTTAGGTGGATCGTACTTGGTGAATGAAGAAGGTGGATCCAAAAGTAGGACAGGCGGTTTGAGTGTCTCTCTATCTGGTCCTGAAGGTCATGTTATTGGCGGTGGGATTGGAATGCTCATTGCAGCCAGCCTCGTTCAGGTTCTTGAATTTCTCTTCTTGAATGGTTTAAAGACTGAATCTAAAATCATAGTTGTGGTGTCTATTTGTAATGTGTCTCCTAACAGAAAGAAACATTGTTTGTTATTTGAAGGTTGTGGCGTGTAGTTTTGTATACGGAGGAGTTGCAAAGCCTAATAGCACTAACAAGTCTACCAAACAAGAGAAGAAACCAAAGGAAGAGCAGAACAATAGCGAGATGGAGACCACACCGACTAATGCACCAGAAGCAGCAACACCTGTGGCTCAGCAGACGCCACAGAACTTCGCAGGTCAGGGAATGAGTGGATGGCCTGGTTCAGGTGAAGGTTCAGTCTCAGGCTCAGGCAGATCACTAGACTCTAGCAGAAACCTACTCACTGATATTGACTTGACTCGTGGATGATTCAAAGAGAAAGAATATTGATCTTTCTACCTATTTACTACCACTACCTTCATAGCTATTCAAGCAGCAGCAGCATATAGAATGTGAGTGCTGTAAATATCTTTGTTGTTGTAGATTTATTTATCTGAGAATATGTTAAACCAGAAATCTCAGAGGACTGAGACAGATCTCTGTGTTCCTTCTAACATTGTAATGTAACAGAACCCTTCTCTATTCAGGTTATTTATGAAGATGTTTGCCTATTTATCCCATAAATCTCTGTGTATTTGTTTCTTGTGTTCTCATGAGTTTTAGATTGGATTTATGTTGTCTGGTTCAGACTTTGGTTTTTAAGCGACTGGCTTTTAGTTTGGTTTGCAGGAAAGGGTTTTGGTTCGAACATGGACCTGGTAGTGTTCATTCCTAATGTTCCTATGATGTGTTACCATGCATGAGGCATTTCTTTTTGATTATTTTGAAAAAAAAAGATCAAGAATTCACATTATCTTTTGAGATTCTTAATAATATTCGGATGATACATTTGGAAAAATGATAGCCAGGTTCATATAAACCAAGAGCTTACAATTTCTTAGAAATCATATGGAGCAAACTATCAATAGTAATATCAAAAGCATCTCGGAACCTCTCAAACTTACCATTGGGATCTCCATAGACTAAACCAGGCAAAAGCTCATGAACAATGTAACTTCTCATATCCTCTCTTTCCCTTAAACTCATTGACATCAACTTCTCAATCACATTAACTTTCTTTTCCTTCAACTCCTCTTTGTTTATATACACCGAGTATGTCCTGTGATCCTCCGGTAAATGCCACGTGTACTGATAATACGCAGTGTACGGATCAAAGATAACCGGAATACAACCGGCTACAAGCGAATCAAAAACCGATTTTCTTGTGGGGCTATCTCCTGGTGGCTGAAGACAAAACTCAGAGTCTTGGAAAAGCTCTATAACCGATTCCGGTTTATCACAACCTCCACCGGTACAGTTCAAGAACCTACATTGGTCCGGAGATGAACTGCATTGGTCAATCAATGTTGACCTAATGCTATCAGGGTTACCAGGTCTAGCTCCACCGGCGAAGCTGATCAGGCTCCGCCGATGTTTCATGATGATCTTGTTTTGCCAAGTTGAGATATCGTCGTCGGTTTTCGGGTGGAAGAACGTTGGATGAGGTATAGCGATATCATTGACTTCCCATGGATTACGTTCAATGAGAAGCTTTGTAGGGTTTTTCATTTCTTGCATCTCAAGTAAACTTGACCCCCAAGAAAACTTATTGTTCCTCCTAAAATCCCAAGAGATCTTGCCGAGAACGAACACATGATCTTTCCCCGCGTTTTCCCTCCAAGATTGTTTCGATCCGAGCCACTTAACAACCTCGATGGCCAAAACATCCTTCACATCCTCTGAAACATTCTTGAAATGCCATCTCAAAACATCGATACCGCCATAAAAGGGTACATAGAAGAGCTTGGCTAGGTTCTCGTCGTAAACCCTACATGGATGCTTCAAAACGCGAGAATGAAAGATCGGCTCAAGAGAGTATTGATGCGTTCTAAACCAACCTTTACCAAGACTCTCAATGGATTCACCAAGCGCATCGTTCTTGAAGTAGCTACAAAAGTTGGCCCATGGAACCATGTCCGAGCATTCTCCCAACAAGTCTTTGTTGAATTTAGACGGTAGATCATAAACGTATATACCTTGTCCTTGGCAAGATCCTTGTTTATTGCGGTTGTTCCCCAAAGATAGCCAAGATCTTTGTTCCTTAAGATACTTGTCGACGGCCTTTAGTGCAGTCTCCTCGTCTTCATCCTTGGAGTTGATATATCGATATCGCTCTTCTCCCGTCTCTGAGTCCCAATCAACAAGAAACGAATCAAGATTCTTCTCATTGATGAGTTTAGAATCTTGATCAAGAACGGTAGAAGTTTCATTCTTAATGACGTTGGGGCTTGCTCCGACCGTAAAGTTGGCTGAGTAGTCTCTTTCTCCGGCATAAGTTTCATTCTTTGCGAAACTCTTGTCTCTATCTTTACCAAGAACAACAACACTCTTGTCTTCTTCACTTTTGATCACGTTTCCAATATCCGGTTTAGTGAAATTATTAACCGGTACATGTAAACCGGGCTGAGTACCGGCGGTGAGACAGTAAAGATCGTTGAGCTTCCGAGAAGAGATACAAATATGAACGACGTTACCGGAGATAACGGTGGTGGAAGTTGACCAAAGATAGATAAAGAAGAGAAAGAGAATCGTGAGAGGAACACGGTAGAGAAGTGAACTAAAGAAGACAGAACATATGCTATTACATCCAATACGAGGATCTTTAAGTGATGCATCTGGCTTCTCGGTTTCAGTTCTTTTGGATGTTCTTGGTCGTCTCTTTGAGATGGAGACAGGCATGTTTTTCCTCACTGGTTTTTTTTGGATGTTCTTTCATGTGTAACGTTTTGTATATGTTTTTTTTTGTTTTGTTTTGAAAGACATGCACGCACGTCTGGCTAATCATTGTCAATTATAATGAGGCTGCACGTCTTGGTGTAACGAACTTAATCATATCAAAATGATTTGTAAACGATGTTAGCTGTAGATGAATGTGTGTCTGACTCTTATATCAAAATCAGTCCAATTAAGTGTTGGTATTTTAGTTTTTTGTTTCTTATATTTTTAGTCATGAAGTTCTTTAGAAATTCATTGTAACTAATCAATAGATAATTTTTAATGATCTAATTTTCGATAATAAATTATTTAGTGAATTATGGGTCAGAGATCCAAAATAGCTCAAAATTTAGTTAGCTAAAAATTAATTTAAATTTAAATTTGTTTTTACTAGTAGCACAAAGCTCTTAAGGAGTTATATAAATAAGATCATTATCAAGTTGGATTAATGTCCATAACTTAATTAATTATACTGTAGTGTTTTAGACATGGCAAATTTATTAATTGGGTAGTTGCACTGTTCATGGCAATAACTAATGTTGAAGTGAAGTAAAGAACAGAGCATTAACAGAGGAAGATGGTTTTGGCTCACAAAATTAAAGTATACCAAACAATGTAGGTTTTTCTTCTTCTCGATTCCATTTTAATATCAATCTCTTACATATAATTAGAGTATTGCTCAGTCCATTTTTAAAAGACTCGGAGACAACATAGATTACTGATATACAATCCTCCCTTACAACAACAACATAGCACGCGTTCTTGTTCTTGAATTTCCTTAGCAATGTTATGTGACATCTGCATAAACGATCCTTCAAGAAATTGAACAAGGTTATTGTGACACATTTAAAATGCTATATTTTCATGTTGCTGCCTCCAGTCAATCACATATATATAATAAGTACAATAGTCCCATGGAATATCAGCGGATTCAAGAGCACGTTTAAAACGACATAGCAGTCTTGACGTAATCACAAGAAAGCAAAATTACAGAAACAGGTTGAAACTCTATGTAACAACCTGCTCCGTGGAAACTATCTATCCAATTGCCGCCAGGTTGGTTTTACAGGGCATCGACCCCAACATCTTCATTAAGAGTTCTCATTAATTCCATAACTAGGTTGTTGGTGAGACTCGAATTGAAATCCTCACTCTTTAGCAGTACTCCCATAGGACAAACTGTCACCAATTGATCTGCATGTCAATTGGTGACAACTTATCATGTGGGAGTGTTATTAAAGGGTGAGGACTTGGGTTCGAGTCTCACCAACAACCTAATTATAGAGTTAGGCCAAGAGACCCAGTGAATCTTTTGTTTATCAGGACATTCATTCCACCAAAAAGCAGCCATTGCACTCATGATTTTTTGGCAATGAGGTTTTGTCAATCTAAAGCAGGACATAGCATATACTGGTAGAGCCATAGTAATTGACTTAAGTAGAATCTCCTTACCACCAAGGGAAAGCGATTTAGCATACCAACCACTAAGTCTTTTACCAAGTTTCTCACCAATGAAAACTAGAAGCTTCTGTTTTGATCCGCTGAAACATTCAGGGAGACCCAAATAAGTGCCAGCTCCCCCCCTCATTCTCTATTTCAAGTAACTCAGTTATTAGACGTTGCATCACAGGATCAATGTCTTCACCAAACGTAATTGATGATTTATGAAAGTTAATTTTCTGTCCTGATGCTTTACCATAGAACTTGAGATAGTGTAGAAAGTTGGTACATTCCTTCAAAGTCTCTTGGCATAGGAAGAGGCTGTCATCTGCAAACAACAAGTGTTGTATAGAGGGACGGTTTTTCTATTAGGAAATATTTTTTGACAAATCTCCAAAATAGCACATTTCTAAGTTTATGTCACAAAAATAGCTCTCAAAAATTAAAATGACCAAAATATCATTTTGTCTTTTGAAATTTTTTTTTTTAATTTTTAAAAAATTAAAATCTTATTTCTAAAATCCCACTTCCTAACTCTAAACCCTAAAACTTAAATTCTAAACCCTAAACCCTAAACCCTAAATCTCATCCCTTAACTCTAAACTCTAATGTCTAAATTAATTTATTATTAGGATATAAGTGTATATTTATCTCTTTTAATAAAATATTAGATGCTATTTTGATCATTTTTATTTTTAAGTGATATATTTATGACAAAAAAAATTTAGTGCTATTTTAGTCATTTTCTCAATGAAATTCACTAAACCTTTTAGGATAATAATTTTCTTAGTTAGTATTTAAAGAGAAACCATCAACCATTGTAAGGATCTTTTGATTATTAAGATATATATTGAAGTTTCTGTAAGAGATTTATAAGCATTGCGAAGAATATGTGCTACTTATCATTTTTATTTCGATTCCAATTTTAAGAACACAGCACTTTGAAGATCATCTCCTTGATCTTTGGTTTCTTAGTTTCTACGCTCCAGCACTTGACCACGCCGAATTCATTGTAATCCTTTGTATAAACTACATACTATATATAAGTTTATTTTATGAATACAAAAATAAACCAAAAAAATATTTTTTGAATTGTTTTCAAGTAATCTTTGACTTTTGCATCAAGAAATTCCAATCCAAACTTACGAGTACCGTCTAACAAGTTTCCAATCATCCGTTATACCATCTACGCGAACTATAACCTATGTTGCATGGAAACTTCATTCAAGGTATGTTTCTTGTTTTGGAAGCGGAATCTCTTGGAAACTCGAGGAAACTCTTTAGAAACACGTTTCTTGAAATTTTTGATTTTGGAAACATGATGAAAACTTGTGTTTCTGATTTGGAAACTCGCGATTATAATTTG